ATGTGTGTGTGTGTGTGTGTGTGTATGAGAGAGAGAGAAAGAGAGAGACCGAGAGAGAGAGAGAGAGAGAGAAAGAGAGATAGAGAGAAAAAAGGCGGGGCGTGCTCACAAAATGAGTTACTTCTCGCATTCGACAAATGGAGATATTGGCTAAAAATCAACACTAGGGTCAAATTTGTAGATTTTCTACTGATGTCATATTCTTTAAGTATAACATGCATTTTACTATTTCACACTTATAAAGGGTAAAACCTTCACCTATAAGCATGTAGTACCTATTTCCATAGGGCTCGAATCTGAGAAGTCACTCATTTTGTCAGCACGCTTCACGGGGACAATTGGGACAAATTATGACAAACATCATGGAAGAAAGACGCTTGAGTGATCGTTAGTAAGAACATGAGAAATCTGTATTAGTGTGCATGTCAGTGACTGATTATACATAAGAAAACACACGTACTTACTGTAAGCTTAAGTATGTGTGTTTTTATATGTATGTATGTGGCGCACTGTCAAAACTATGAAGAGAGTGTAGCGAATGAACAGCCCAAGAGTCAAATCTGAAACAAACCATAAAAAGAATAAAATCCTAAAAAACACTGACAAGACTGGCCTCCCTACCTTAACAGCACACTTGGTCTCTCCTGTAGAGTCTCCTAGGATGTTCTTGGCCAGCCCCTCAAACACCTCGCCGAACGCTCCACTCCCGAGGAACATTGTCAGCACCAGCTGGCTTCGGCTGAAGTGAGGCAGTTTGGCAATTTCCTCATCCGTACATGGGATGCTGGAAGAAGTAGAGAACAAGAAGATAAAAAAAAAGTTCTGGGATTGGTAGATTTCTTATTTTGTTGGGAGGAAGAGAGAGAGGGGGAGTTGCATAATATTTGTCATGGTGGTGGAACAATATTTTTCTTCGGCTTTTTTTTTTGGGGGGGGGGGGGTATTTCGCTATTTTCCTTTTAAAAAAGGTATAACTCCAAGCTATAACTTTATTGATGTCCACTGTTTTTCAAAAGTCGTCATAAAACTTAAGGAAAATGTTTAATACGTTCATCGTCACATCTCAGATCATTACCTCTTTCAACATATGGCGTGACCTTCGATTTATCGTAGAGTCGGGCCAAGATGGCGATCAGCTATGACAAATTATTAGACAAAGCAAATTCATTAATATCATCTGAGCGAACGGTATGAAGTGCATGCCTCTTCAGACCACAGGATGATGAAAAACCTCAAATTATGCAAATTTGTAACAACTTACTTTTCAATTCGCGAGTTTCATGTGCTGAACATTCCATTTGTACTTTCATAATTTCCCCGAAGGGAATGCAACTAGTAGTTCCCTCTTCATTTCTTCCTATTCTTCAGTAGACCAGAGGAAATACCTACCTAATGGCATACAGAGTGTTGCTTTGTTGGAAGGCTGTGTGGGGAAGCTCCCTCAGAGTTGCCAGTTCTGTGTCTGGACCACGCAGGATGAACTGATGAGTTTTGCCTTTCTCCAACTTTCTCTTCATCACTGAGGAAAGAGAAGAGAGTTTTAAGAAGGTAAATAAGGAACAGAAAGTAATGTAAATGCATCAGTTGGAGAAAGTTATTTTTCTTTGTACAAATACGCTTGCCCCCCCCCCTCTCCC